AGTAGCTAAAAAAATAATACACAGAAGTATATGCAGTAGCTACAAAAATCACAACACAAAGCGATGTCTGAAAAACAAAGTTTCACATTAAATATAGAGGATGAAGTCTCGTGATGCTAGCTAAGCCCTCTGCAAACATAATTCATACTAGCGTGTTTTAGCTCGTTCATGTACAGATTAGTGTAGGCGGCCAAACCGAGGATACACCGTACGCTGAATGCATCTTCATTGCTTCATTTCCAACTTGGAAAAAATAAGACAAAATTTCAGTGTTTTTAGTTTGTCAACCTAGGCAGGTAAGCGCTTTATGTACCGTAAGATGCCAAAATACGGCAAATAAAAACGCCCATCAAYTCGTTCATCCAACTYGTGAATTTTGTCAGGACKTCGAGTTAAAAACGAACAGTWAGGAGAAAATATGCTGCAAAAGTTGATCGACTATCTACTTTACGCAACAGCTTTGCTCAAATTGCCTGCAACAAATATGCCACACTAACAAATATGGGCGAGAACTTAGAGTGGTTTTCATTAACCCGTGAAACACACTTTAGCGTATTTATCGCTTGTACACTTTGGCACTATTGTTTTTTATTGTCTCTACGCGACTATTACGATCTATTACACTCTAATTATTACACTTTGTTTCACGGGTTTATGAAAACCACTCTAGTGGAGTGTAATTAGTACAAGCTTGAAATACAGGTTAATATTCGATAATGAACCAGTATCCAATAGAGTTCTAACACTAAATGCACTAGAAAAAAGTCAAGCAAAACCTGTGAAATAGATGGAGTGATCGCACTTAAAGCGTGGATTTCACTAGTACATAAGCATAGCATAAGCACAAGCATGAGAATCATATGCGTCAGTGAGAACGGGCTCGACATAAGCATAAGACATTGAGAATGCGCATGAGAGTATTATTTCGGTACCAGGCTATGCTTATGCCTATGCAGTCCCGTTCTCACTAACATAAGCATGAGATATGCATGAGATAAGCACAAGAAGATCAAGACTTGCTCGTTTTTCTTGTGCTCATGCTTATGCTTATTTTGAGCCCGTTCTCACTGGCGCATATGACTCTCGTGCTTCGTGCTTATGMCTATGCTTATGCGCTAGTGAAATCCACGCTTAAAGCGTGCAAGTGTTAATTTGTACTTAAGTGGACCTGAAGCAAGACGGTATTGAATGCCTCATTTGTATTATCAATTTAATTTGCGTACCACATGTACGATTTACTTCATACAACTAAATAGCACAATTTAGTTTGTACAGTTACAAGGTTTAAGTGCGATCGCTCTATTACACTAATACACCTTTGTAAGCTCTAATTGCATTGTTTTCTTGTGTGTCTATTTGACTATCACACTTTAATAGTAAAATTTTGATTCACGGGTTTAGAGTGGTTTTCATAAACCCGTGAAACAAAGTGTAATAATTAGAGTGTAATAGATCGTAATAGTCGCGTAGAGACAATAAAAAAGAGCCAAAGTGTAATAGCGATAAATACGCTAGAGTGTGTTTCACGGGTTAATGAAAACCACTCTAATGACTGAACTCTATCTACTGATAAACAGTGCAAACTGGACACTAGAAAACAATAGAATTAGCCGTACGTAGTGGTATTYATGCTGTACACTTTCAGTTGTGACACCTACATCGGATTTTCAGCGTTTTTTTGGCTTAAGGGTCTCATTTTATAACAAAGCAAGTATACGAGAAAAAAACTGAGGATTTTATAGAAAATTTTGAAATTTTTCGTTACTAAAGTTCCATTTTATGCACTTAAAATAACCATATCAGTATTTGGAACAAGATTTCCAATGAAAGTGTACATTAACTTAATGTCCAGTCCAATCAATATTCACTTGATATTACTGTGGCCTGGTATATCAACACAATCATGGTGAAGTGATGAGAATACGAACACATCCCGGGGGAGGGAGGTGGAAAGTTCCATAAGAAAGAGGACAGGAATGTTAAATTTACAGCTGAAAGGGAACCGAGTTTTTTGGTAGTGGGTGTGGCAGCAGTGTCTTCCCTCAATTTCAACTAATCGGTTCGGCTTCAATTTTTTGTAAATCAATTCTAACATCAAACGCCTAATTTGATGATATAAATTTCTGACAGTGAAAAGCATTGTTGATGATTTTAACTCTAAACCGAGGAATCATTCATTTAGCCGTTCATTTACACTCTRAGCGAGACCAAAACACTGATTTTAGCCCCTAAAAAGGAGGGGCTCCGTACTCTTTCATATGTCCCACTCCCTYAATAACGTTATAAATACGAACGATGATAAGATTCTGTCATGTGTTGACTCCAGGCGGTCATTCACACTTCTGTTTCAGAGTCATTCGCATCTATGTCCTCTTCAGGATCTAAGGTCACTAATGATGATGGGCTTGTCCCAGAGAGCTTCAGAGACCCTGTAGCAGTTAGTGCCTTAGGGAACCTTTGATGGTATCGACGCAGAGTGAGGTACTTTACAGCAACTAAACGACCTGAAAATAACAGACGTGATTCACCAACACTGATGACAATAAAACTATTAGCATGATTACTCACCATCAAACCAAGAACCATGGAGACTTTTGAATGCAACACCAGCCGAGTCTTTAGAATTGCATTTGACATAAACACAACCCTGCAACAACAACAACAAAAACGCCATCTTTTCAAAGCAAGAATGTTTATTGTTCCAGCAACAACAAATGGAACAGCAGACCTAATCGGGTAACGCGTTACCACGTACGTTACCACCCAATTCAAATCCTGTGTGAGAAAAAACTTTTAGTCTTTCTGAGAATTCAACTATGAAATGAAAATATTATGAAGAATGAAACTTACTGGTTTGAATTGGTTAGCAACGTTAATAGCAACGCTCTAGCCGATAGTTCTATTGAGTGTTGTGTACAGATAGAGCAAAAAAAAGAGAAAGAATGCTACATGTAGGTGACACCTTGCAATGTTTTTGTTTCTATTTCAGAAAGGGAAGAGATACCTCGCTTGAACTCTTGTCCACAGCAATATGCACAATATTTGCTCCAGCATCAATACATTTTTCCAAGATAGCATCTTGAATAATTACATGCCAACGGTCCTCTAGCTCCCTGTACAGACAAACAAATATTCCGTATGAGTCTTTTTTTAAACTTGTTCCCAAGCCCTTTTCTGGCCAATTGTCCAGGGTTAAAAGAAGGGAAAAGGGCCTGGGGACCTGGTTGATTTTATTTCTGATTTCATGACAGTTTCACTTACACATCAGGATCAAACATGTTTCTTATCTTCAAGCATGGTGTTGGGCTGACTACAGGAGGGTTTACAGCCCACTGGAAGTTTTCAAAGGCTGAAGTAGAATAAGAATGSCATTACTTTGAATTAAMTTACTAAAAATACATTGTGAAACATTATTGGTGACCCAGTACTTTACAGTTTGTCTGGCTTGTTTTATGGCTTTTGGATGCTGATGAATGGAACATCAAATATGGATGAAGCTTGGAGAAATTTGCCCCCTCCCCCCCTCCCCAAAAAAAAAACCTTGTCTGCTGATCCAGCAATGCATGCTGGGTGGTGGTCCACCTTAGTTTGATGTTGTTTGTTGATTTAATAATAAACAGCAAACACACAAACAAAACAATATTCCTATTATCGTTCACAAACAGTAGTGTTGTCTTAAGGATTGTCATAAATTATAAGCTCTCTTGACCTCAAGTCCAAATTAAACAACAAAACTTTTCACTACAACTGTTGCATGCAACCTGTGCAAGTCATCCTTGCAACTTGATTACAATTGTTGTAGAGATTTAAAACAATTGCTGAATAACCATACCACAGTTGCAAGGATAACTAAACTGGTTGCATGCAACAGTTTCTACTTAAAGTTGTGCAATGTATAAATTCAGCCTTAACAATGAACATCTTTTCTTCCTAACTTTCAATAAATGAAACTAAAGATGAGAAAGTTTGTACCTTGTCCTTGCCAACACTTTGGTCTTTTAGTGTCCTGAAATATTGCCAAACATGTGATGAGTACACAGGAAAAAATGTGTTATATTATGTAGTTAATAAAAATTCCACTTCGTCTTTCTTTCCCATTATTATTATAACTATTAAACAAGGTTTTTTTTATTTATAATTATTATTGAAAAAGCAGGTGTCATGTAAATATGTTATGAGCTAATGAGCTATCATCATCATCATCATTACCATCATAACATTACTGATATTATTATCAATATCATATTATCATTTTCAGTCAGTATAACTATAAAACTTTATGCGTTGACATCATCATCACCATCAATATYATCCTAGTCATTATTACCAATTATGATTATCATCATTATATTATGATTACTAACTTGTAGAGATACTTTATGACTGTGATGTTTAGGYGACATGATGTGAATCCATCTCCAAACCTCAAAGTCTTCACCAGCTATTCTTTGACTTTCAACTCTAATACGTGATTCATTGGCACTMAGGAATCGCACTGCACGACTCCAAACATTAGCCTTGGCTTTTCTATAATTCAAGGGACAATAAACAATATTTTCAATCTCTGGGCAGTTGTAAGAAGGAGGAATATAGCTACCCACCAGATAAATCCATATCTATATCTATATTTTTTTTAATGTTTGTACCTATTATTTTATCGTTTGTATCAAAAACGAAAGTATGTAATAAAATAAATAAATAAAATRTCMAACAGATAAAATCCATACAAAGCAGAAGTATAACTTCCCATGAATGATATCACAAAGCACAGAGAAACAAAAATAAGAAATACTACAAGTTCTTTTACCTTTCAGCTGGCTTGATTAGCATGTCCCTTACATGAGGGATTGGTAAATATGGAGGCAAGTCTTTATCTGTTTTACATGCATCGTGATGTTTACGCAAAATATCTAAAAAAACAATGATTTCCTGGTAATATAATAATTATATTCAATATAYATAAAATTGAAAGTAGCAAAAATTATACATTGGTAACTGCCACTTTACAGTAAAGGAGAAAAAATTTGTTGTGGGAAAAGCTGCAAAATGAAGATGTTCCTCATGGCAAATGTGTTCTTGCTATTTTGCAATTCACTGACACTTATTCCTCAACTTTTCTAGTGRATTTTCTAGAGGATTGAGCTTGCAAAATAGTTATAGTGAAAAATATTGTGGTGTTATAATCATTTCAAGCTCAATTAACGCAATGGCATTGCCACCTTTCAGGATGAAAACAGACATGTATTCTCATGAATTTCAAAGTCAGTTCWCTTGGACACTTCTTTAGGTCTCTAGAAATGTCTACAAAAAGGATTTCTCAAAGTGAAACATTGTCGTGGTATTATATCATCAAAACTTTAACAATGGTTGGACACACAAGTACAGTCAACTCTCGCCTTACGGACAACTTAACCCACTATTTACAGACACCTTGATATTAAGGACAAGAAATGATGAATCTCTGCCAAAAAAATACAAAGAAAAAACACAAAGAAAAGTAGCTCCCGTTATTAAGGACTCTCACTACTGTGGACACTAAATTACGGCCCCTCTCATAATAGCGAGAGTTGACTGTAGTTAGATCTGCCATTGTAGCTAGGGCATGTGCTGACTCACCAATGATATTTTCAACAAACTTGTACATCATACGAGTATCTTCTTCTTCTTTTCTCCAGTGATTACGAACRCCATAATAAACCCCAACAAGAATTAAAAACACTATGAATAGAAAAAGTGAAATTTCACAGGTTTAAAAAGATGGAATTAATCCTAAGAGCTGAATGGAAGCGGCCCTAACTCAGCCCTACACTCAGCTAATCTATCATTTCAAGCCTGCCTGAAAATCATGTAAATGAACAAAAAATAAGAATGTACTTGATCATTTTATCACTATTATAGCACAGTCCCCACTTTCCGCACACAAAATCCATTGTCTTGTGCAAAACATTATGGGTTGATTACTCACCAAATGCTAATATAATTGTTCCAGTCATTACTTTAGAGCACGATTGTTGTATGCGACACACCAGTGACTTRTTTGGCTTAATAGATTCATACCAGTATGCACTAGAAGTATTGTCACCTAGRAGGTTCWTCTCTTCGTCATATATTCTAAAAAATATTAGAAAAAGATTAGACATAAACGTTAGACRGACAAATTGCCAAAATGAACTGATTTACATRAAATGACTGAAGCTTATGCACCATCAGTACGACATAWTRTAGGATTMTGASTCTAGGCYTTAATAATTCATAAGATAAACACAATGGAAAATCATTGCWGTGACTGCATCTTTATATGATTGCTTGCAGCTCGCAGTTTTAAATGCCCATAAAGGTCTCCTGCTTATATTCAATATATTACATACATATACCTTACTCCCGTTTCGTTGATTGTTTTGTTGTTTAAAAATTCTATCACATCTATTTGGATTTGGCTTTTTCTCTTGACACTCAAATCAGGCTGGGAATAAAAGGTAAATGAAAGGATAATTGGATAAATATCATTAATAGTTTTAAGAGGATAGAATAGATAGACAGTTTATTTAAATCTAAAAATTGTAGCCTAACGATGAATTAAATTTAGAAGTTTACAATAAAAGGAAAATGTTAAAATTACAAAAAGATTACAAATTGACTAGAAAGATCACATGAACAATAAACAGCAGTAATTAAAACTAAGATCAAACTTAACTTCCAGTTCCAAATGTAATTTTATATTGTTTAATGTGCCAAAGCCATAGTTTTGAGGTTATTTGCATGAGAAATGACATCCGAGTCTCACATTTTCCATACTTTTGTTGTACTAAAATACAACTTTGAATACTTACTTTCCACATCTCTGAATAACTTTTGCCTTAAAATACCATTTGTCATTAAACATTTTTTCATTAAAAGGTCCTCAAAACTTGATTATCAATAGAAACTTGAACAGAATTTCATTTTACCTTAGACCCAGACCAAAATGAACAGATTTGATGGAAAAAGGATGGAAAAAGGCAAGAGAATGGAAAGGATGAAAAGATRATGAAAAGAGGATGAATAAATAAACGAAGCAATGGATACATTGAAGGATCAGAATACTAAACCAAATCCAGAYTGTAACAAATTGTTGTTTTTCATTTTACACTCACATTGAATGCTAATCATTATCATACTTACAAAATCTTGTGCTATCTGCGAATCAAGTTGTTTAATTAGTTCGTCTTTGGAAACATTTCTACTTGTTACTGAATCATCTTGACAGTCAAACTGACCTGCAAAATATTATTTACACATTGACTTGGTAATAGGACTGGGGCCAAATCTTTTCTTGTTTAATATATTAATTTTGAGTCTGACCTAGCTCAGTCAACACACACTTTATCTTTTGACCATTTTTAGCATAGTAACTATGTTTTGAGCTATTTAACATACTATACAGAAACATCATGTGGTCAAGACTGTATCATCATTCCTAAAGCATATCCTGAAGGACATATAGAATGTGCTGGTCTTGAATATAGGTCAAAATATTGTTATATTATAACAAGACCATGTAAAATATTTGTTTAATTCTAAAAATATTGATCAGGAGTAGACATTTAGCTTGCTATTATATATTAGCTTGTTGAGCAAGGCACAATTCTGTCACCACTGTGGTCTCAGTTYAATTTCAGTTTCTGAATAAATGTTATTTGCAAGATGGTTTGCTGCAAGGGATTTTCTCCAGATGAACTGGCTTTTCCTTTTTTAGAGAAACTGAGAGGAGTGCTTCTTATCAAATCAATCAAAGTTGTGGAAATACAWGTCTCCCCAACTAGCACAACAAGTTGTCTGGCTAAAGCAACCAAGACAATAATAAAGATTATTTTCTTTTAGCAAAACAACGAAGAGTGAAGCTGTGATTAAGTTACTTACCTGCTTTCTTTGACAATAAACCAATTAGAAAATGTACATATTTTAAGTTGAGATCTTTCTGATGAACACAATTCTGTTGGTATTAAMAATTATATCATTAGTGAAAACAATTTTTAGTCATTTTTTTCAGCGTCTTGCTTTTTTAGACATAGATGTGTAATGTTAGAGTGCAAAACATTAGTGTCTATGTTAGCTGTGTTTTTTTTTATTAAATATAACTGAGTATTTCTTATATTTATAAATGTGCTTTTAATAAAATGAATATTCATTTATGATAAATCAAAGCCTAGTTTTATAGTAGAGCTGTTTATACTAGTATAATAATTCAAATACTGATTAGAATACTCACACTCCTGATGCTGTTACTACAAACAGATAGAGGACCTATAGAGAGAGACAACAACAGATGAAAAACGTATAGATACATAAATTATACTTTAAACAAGTCTAATATGTATAGATACATACAGACAAATTCACATTATGTCAGACACATTTGCATGTTTTGACTTCAATCAATCAAAACTGTCTGGTCAAACTCTATGCTGTGAGTTCTACACGGAAAACTTTTTAATAATATTTCGAAGCATAAGTCTGCATTATACAGTTTTRTAGTAATTCGATTTATTTAAACATCATTACAACTTGGAGTTCTCGATTATTATCAAGCTTAATTCACGCGTGCAACAATAGTCTATTTATAACCGTTCTCGACTAGGTGTCGAGGTCACACTTCCAAATTGAATAAGCACCTTCCACATAAGAGTAACATAACAAATTTGACATAAATCCGCGTAGCAAAAGCCACTGGAGCCCACTAATGGCATACCACTATATCTCAGCTAGATTTGTTATGTCTAACCTATTTGTTCGCAGCATGACTTACCACTACTAGATGTTATTCCATAATTGTTTAAATGAAAATCATTTAGGTAGTAAACTCCCAGAAGAACCATACAAATTATAACAACAAACAAAGCCACAATGTTTATGAATGATGACAACGAGTTTCCCTCTGATCTGGGACTGTAAGCGCCATCTGTGCTGTCTCGATCGGTGGCATTGTGGTCTGATGGCATTTCGTCCCCAAAGTTAACTTTATCTTTCACAATTTGCCGATTCGAATTTGCACTTTCGGGGCTGTCCTTCTTCCGTCTGAAAGAGCGAAAACGAAACGATCCTCTCTGAAAAGGTCCTGTATATGTTGTACTATCTGAATCAGAAAATTCATCGCGTATAGTCGGTGAATCGTTGAAGCCATGGACGGTTGACCTTCCACGTTGGTTTTCACCCGATTTTGATCTGTCTCGAGGTTTTTCGAAATCGTCTCTATTTCCATCCACATCGTCTTTTGATTCCTCAAATTCTTCCTTTATGCGAGCTCCTCTGCCACTAGACGCTCTTCTTCTTGACCTAGAATTGGACTGGTTGTCTTCTTCGTCACTCGAGAAGCCAAGAAGCTTTCTCGAAGGACTTTGCCTTTTCGTCTGGCTAGATGCATGGCTAGATGGTGGTGCACTTTTGCGTCTCGAATCTTTTTTTGTCTCTTTAGCACGTCTTGTGCCTTCTTTCTCCAATTTTCTTAGTTTACGAAGAAGTAACGGTCGTGTGCTTGGAGTAACAGGCCCTGGATTCTCTCCCAGACTCTGTAATTGTTTACGAAGTTCATCGTCTGAGATCACGTTGGTCGCCATCTTGGATCACGGAAAGACAYAGAGAAGGCGTGGTTACTCAACACAATTTCACCACAGGGAAACCGTAAGGCCGAATGTKTTAGCATCACTATCACTTTCGTCGCGTCATGARCTGTCCTTGTCAATGACAGCAACACAGAAAGCRCAKGAGTGGCATATTCTCGATCTCATTTCTCAATGTAAACTGATTTTAACCACTGCAAKCCCAATTGTTTCATTCAAATTTCATTTTTCAATTTTTTTGATCAATGTTCACTCACTTTTGTTTATTTCAGTTAGTGCTGCTGTGTATCAGATTCCATTTCCCAGCCTCTTTTAGATCTATCACACAGCGCGTTGCGTCTGTTTTTAGTTTTTCTGTCAGCAAACGTGCGTTGAGAATTTTTGCGCATGAACTCTAAAGACTTTCCTTCTTGTAAACGAGATCACGACTGTAGGGGAGTAGGGTAGGGATGGAAAGGAGTTTCCGATAAATCTAAAAAGTTATAAACATTTTATAGATAAGAAATGTAACAATAGAAATAAAACAAGTACACGAAAAAAATGTAACAAGGAACAAGAAGAAGAAAAGARAAGAAGAAAATTATGTACCATAACCGTACTCGAACCGCTACGACTTTACAAACATCGGATTAGAACTCAACGCCTTAACAAGGAGCGCCACTGGACCACGCTCATTTACATAATCACTTTCACCGAATAGACTACCCCAATTTGACATTATATTTTCGATAGTTACCTAGTTAGTGCAAGGGGTTATCCATCAGTGTCTAGGGGCCGGATAGCTTCTCCCTCACTGGCTTTTTAGTTAGCGCGAAGTTAGGACCAATTATCGGGATAGCATGGAAGAGTCGAAATCTCTAACCGGAATGTAAATCGATTCGACGCCTCAGCTTCACAGAATGTCTCGGGGGAATCGTCCCAATCTTTTTCAAACTTTTTGGCAGGGGTTCAAATCCCAGTATGTTTTTTCCTCTTTTCTCATTTCTATCCCTTTTTTTTCTTTGATTGTTTTTCTTCTTCTTTTTTTTTCGTGACTTGTTTGCATAATCAGGATTGAATGGTATGCGTTTATTTCATACATTGCCAATTCCATTTTTTTAGGGCTTGTTATAACCAACCTCGTACCAAGGCTCTTCGTTTGGGGTTAGGGGGAAGGCATTCAGCGGATTAATTCCGGCACCAAATGAAGGGAATGAGGTGTAGGATAACAAGAGAAACACTCGCTACGCTCGTGTTCCTAAGCTTCTCTAGTGGTTTTCGAACTCCCACCGTGTCATATCAGAGGACAGAGACACGCGCGCCGTTTTATATTTCTCAAATATAAAACGGCGAGCGTGTCTATATTTCCTCTGGTATAAACACAGTGGGAATTGAAAAGTTGTTTTTCAACTCCCACAGTGTTTGTATCATCAGAGTACAGAGACACAAGCGGCCGTTTTATAGTTCTTTTATAAAATTTTTCTGCATTTTTCGAGCGAAAAACAAGTTTTGCCGGTAAGCCGGTGTCTCTGTCTTTGATATAAAGACGGTCATCAGCCAATCATAGAGCGCGCGTTATATATCAAAGTTTCATTCAGTGGTGGTTCTGTAAGGGTGCAAATCGTCAAACAAAATGTTTTTTAAAGATGTTTTAAAATAATAACAATAAAAAAAACGATACCTTATAAACTAATTAATGACATAAAAAAATGAATTACGTTTCAGTAAAAAAGTGTTCAAAAATGCTATCCTCTAGTAATCTTGATTCCAGAGAAAACTTTCGCTACAGACTCAAAGAAGGGATCAGCAAATGTCCGTACACACATTCCCCAGACTTTGCCAAGGCATTGYAACTCAATGAGATAGCCCTTGAGACACGGCATTATGCACCAGATGTAGTCAAAACTGAGACAAGCAAAGTAACAACCGCACAAGATGGCAGTTGGAATACCAAAGATGGCTGTTAGAATACGGTAACACCAGTACTTTGTGGAAACGAAGGATTTGAAGCTGGCTTTCCAAACTCCGTCGATACTATGTGTGCCTTCGGGTTCAGCGAAKACGTCTTGGTAGAAGACCTGAAAACATACATGTGCGCATTAAAACCAGTGAAAAGAAATGAAGAAAAAATAGATGGACAATAGGACCATTTCCAGGAAGCAGTTAGAGGACGTTACGGCAGACAATCTTAGCGTAAAGGACAGAGGATATACTGGTATCGTCTTGACTAATCGTTTATTCCCCCGCCCATCCACATTCCCTATGCTGTTGAAAGTCTCCCTCATTAACGAYAAATCTTGGAGGGGACATATAATACTGTTCTTAAGATCTGCGGATTTGGCTCTTTTTAGTGCGGATTTTTAATTATTTTTAATCGCGGAATTGGTGATCAACTAAAACGTAAAAATTGCCGCGGGTTTGAGTAACGGGTGCATTTAGGAGTTTTTTTTAGTTATTTTGTTTGGTGGATTTGCAACTGACCCACTTAGAGCCCATTTAGAGGCCTGAATAGCACGAATACCTGGTATCGTGATGATTGCAACCTGTTGGCTGCAATTCAGTGTAAAATCCTCTCGGGTCACAATTAAATGTTATTGTCCGACTCTAACAAGATCGCATATCATCGGCTATCATGATATCAATTTCTTTCAACAAGGAGGTACTCCGCATACGGTCAATAGATATAGGCGCTATAAGTGGTGTAAGTGAGTTTTACTATAAGATTAATTGTAATGAGGGGGTGGCATCCTACGATTATATAGACAACAAAGGCGATGAAGCCCAAAATTGGTTCAAAATGATTAATATAAAGCTTTCTGATACAAGTTGAACTATAATAATAAAAATATGGTTAAGATATTATACGCTAAACTTGAAACAAGTTTATGTAGCATAGAMAAGGGCTGTTTTGGTGATTCTCTATGTCTTACCCGCACGTGGTCGTTCATTTGTGTTGGATCTCTGTCTCCAAGGTTTAATTGATGACCATGGTTCAACTGCTTCTCGCTACCACGTATCTCAACGCTTACATCGCCAGCAGACGTCGACATCGYAACCTCAAGACTTGAGAATAACCGTTTACAGGAGCGCTCACGTTAGTGTTTACAAGATAACCGGCACAACTAAGTTCTCGTTTGACTTCTAGAAGTTACTTATTGTTCCCYACATAATAAACCACCAATGAAAACCTGGTCATCTGATTGGATGATGAAGCCTATATACAGACGTGTGTTTTGTACTCGCGGTAATGCTTAACGGAACTGCCAGTAAAAGGAACATAGGTTTTTTATCGGGATTGGTGGACTCGGGCAAATTTTTTGGGCGGATTAATGATATTCTTAATTGCGGATCGCCGAAAAGGTAATGAAAATGGAATTCTCACTAGATATGGGATTTTCGTTAAAGTGTCCTGATGTATATGTGTTTCTTCAAATAGTTTATTCAAACTCCTGCATATTCTCCCTCATCATTGCAAAATTTCACGAAAATACATATACTGTGAGGTTTTCCAATCGTTCCCATAGTTCCATCGGTGGTAAATGCAAACAGCAGTAGTTACTGAGTAATATAGATGTGTGTCTTTAACATACGTTACTTTCGTAGGCTTTATTGAACACTATAACAGTGAACAAAGGGCAACACATGTCGTGATGTGGGTGGTACATTGTGGATAAAATCAACATAGCCCCATAATGTGATTATCATTAGATATCTTAACAAATTCACTAAATTAAATCTTGAGAATTATCTAATCTGGCAGCATTTGATATATTATTACTCTCCGTATTTTACAAATGTATTTCAGAGTCAATACATAGATAGAGCGGTTTTTCATAAACCCAAAAATTCACTTAAGCGTATTAATCTGCAATGATTTTATCGATGTAGTACAGATAAAATTCGGAAAATCACTCTACCCGAGCGAATTCAATGTTTCACGTCGAAAAATAAAATCGTCAATTCCTTTCAATACAAATTCTTCTATTCACAATTTATTCACAAGACGTTGGTCTCAATCCTTTGCGTCCGAGCCCATGTCGAGCCAACCAGCGTTTCTAACTCTTTCTGGAATATTCTTTCCTCTAATAAGTGAGGTGAGTCTCAATAGTTGAAAATATTCTTGGAAAGCTGTATCTCGGAAATCCCAGCTTCAATATGCTACAATATTGCATCATTATTGCGCAAGGACAATGTTGAGGCGACAGATTTCTTTCAGCCCTGATTTGAAGAGTTTGCGTTTATCTTGTTTAATTCGCTGTATTTTTTGGGATGATAAGAGATATCATAAATGAAGCTAGCGCCACCCAATGGCTTGCAAAGTCCAGTTCAGTCCATTTTCTCAGAGCGCGTCTGATATCAAAACCCTAAAAATATAACAAGAACGAAGATGAAAACGGTRAAATTATGATAAAAGAACAACTAGGACTATTTGYTCTTGCCTGTTCTTGTTCGGATGCGTCGCCTCCAAACATAATACCAAGATAAGCCAGATGRAAGACGGACAGAAAACTAAAAGCAAGATTTACGGCTATCACCCAGAACTGGCCCTAAAAAATAAYATACACAATTTCAGTCTTAGATYCACTTAAAAAAGCTAAGCYGAGGCTGAAAAGAGACAACCTAAATAAACAAGAAATGAGAAAAGTGCTCTCGTTTTAATTCAGAAAATAAAATAACGCCATGAAGTATAGAAATGATRTTTTCTTACAGCTTTGTAACGGTGATTACAGTCCGGTTTACACTTTCTTGCCGAGATACATGCACTGAAGAATCCTGCAAGCCGTGCTCTAAGGACTGAAACAAGGAAAAGATGAGTATTTTGTGCGCAGTCATCAAGCAAATGCCACCTTCACGTTTTCAGCATTTTATAAATAATAAATTGATTGTAAATGATTKAACGATAATATGATTGAATGACTTGATTTAATGGTGTGTTTCTCTGTTATTATTACATGTAATAGGACAAAATATATGGACAGCTACTTATTTAGGATTAATAATAAGTGGACAACTCGCTTAGGAATGCTTACCGTGTTCAATGTAGGCGTAGGTTCCAATAGAGAGTAAAACAGCCGCTAATTGAATGTTCAAACCCTAAAAAAGATAAAAAATATCAACTAAAGGAAATATGGCCACAAGTTAGGTTATCTAACCTGTTTTAATGAAACGGCAACAATGAAACAAAAAAAAAATGGATGAAATGAATGGAAGGAAGGGTTCTGGAACTTACGTGAAGCAAAGCACTACAGCCAAAAGTCAGAAAAATGGCAATAAATCGACCAAGAGATCTTGCTTTCTTGAAAACATCTGACGTGAACAAATACACAGGAAAAAAAATGAAAAAATGAATGGGAAATCAACTGAAAAAATGAAATGATTGAAACAATAAATTGAGTTTCAACAACTTAGCTGGAAATATTTTCTGGGATGTTAAGAATTTGAGATTGGTTTAGGCAGAAATGTATAATGTCTCTCAAAGGAAGCTGTGAAAATCACTTGTACTTACAATTCTTTAGGAAAACATGATTGGGAATATTCCAGTGAATTACTACTTCAACTAGCGATCGTGGTAACTCAACATGGTATGGTCTAGAGACATCAAACTGCCTGCCAAGAACACAAACCACCAATCAAATAAAGATACTAGGCTCTATAACCTCCTGTCAAAGGGGCTATCCATGATTTTAATTTGGGGGGCCCTTACATATACCAAACGTCACTATGACGCCATATGACGTCAACATGATGTCATATCAATCTATGGTTTACACGCTTTTTTGGGCACACTGTGACCCCCCTGGATATGCCCCCTTGTCAGCAATAGCAGTCAATGCCAGTCCTTGATGGATTGTTATTCATTGAATTAATAAAATAGGCATATTTTGGCCTTGTTTAGTTCGATTAAAAATGAAACCCCTTTTGATTCCTGTTTGTGTTAGCAAAAAGGGGAAAAGCCTCCCCCCACTATACACCAGTGATAGATTGGTTAACCAGTTTCTGCTTGTTCCTGTCTCCCCTAGGCTTTAGTATTAAGCCGTTACAATTTGCTAATCTTACATAGCTGTGTTTATCTTTGATTTAGTGAAACTCATGTGAGAAAAAGACATTTAAATAATATTTGTGAATTAATCTAACAAATTCCCATTTGCTTTTGTAAATATTTAATGCATAGAAGCCTATCATGAGCCAAACAACAAACTGGAGCATTTAGTGATATTTTGTCTTTTTTATATTCAATTTGACACATGTGGTTTTACTCACCATTTAGTGACAGCTTCGTTGTCTTCTTTGACTTCTGTATATACACCACTAGCTAAGCTAGTGCACTCTGACAGATAACTGACAAAGTAATGACTGAATCGAAATGACATGGCAGACTGATATGCGAGCAGCCACCTACCAATTAAAACAAAATTA